AAAAATATAATGGCCAGAATTTTTTCAGCCAACCCACTCGCGAAATATTTTCTAACACGTTAAATTTCATAGAAAATAGATTTTATCCAGTAAACAGATGGGGAAGGTCGTGCCGTGTAATTATGTTGGTTATCTTCCACACAAAATAAGCTAATAGCTTAAATTTCTGGTCAAATAAAACACGCCTAATGTTAATAACTTTTACCTGTATGTGTTTGTTGTGTCAAAATACTATACTGCGGCTTAGTTGTATGGAGAAAATTTTTTGTTAAGCTACAAAGCATGTCTCCCCGTAGAAATGTTTATTTGGTTATAAAAACATGCCTTGCGAAAAATTATTAAAACCGGACAACGGAAAGGCGTGCCTCAAAGGCCCTAAAATACAGCATTTTCATGAAATTTTTCACAGAGTGGAATTTTTACGACCTATAAGTCAGTGAGAAATTTAATGTTTTAATGGCACTTGATGTAGTTTTGCTCCCCAATGTCAAATATGGCTACAATATGTAGTAGCGTTTAATTCTATTTGATCATGGATCCACAGTCTTGCCCCTAAATTGCATACGGGAACATTCCGCCATCTTGAAGTTTTTTGGGTTTTTTCCGATTTGCAAGCTTATTTGGCATTTTTCGTAAAAAACGGTTGTATACGAATTTGTAGAGAATTTAATTTCCCACATTTTTTGTATAAAAGCATTTGTCGGCCGCTGTGGTGTAGTGGTAAGATGTGCGCGCTTTCACTCATCAGCACCTGGGTTCAAGCCCTGGTCAAAGCAACATCCCAAAAAATATAGAAAAAGGTTTTTTCTTAACAGCGGTCGTCCCTCGGCAGGCAATGGCAAACCTCCGAGTGTATTTCTGCCATGAAAAACTGCTTCTAATTAAAATGAAATCGCCGTTCGGAGTCGGCGTAAAACTGTAGGTACCTCCGCTTGGTGTGACAACATCAAGGCGCACGCCACAAGTCGGAGGAGAAGCTCGGCCAAACACTAATATATGTGTAAGCGCCAATCTATTATTATTATTATTAAGCATTAAAAAAATCGTTTTTTATTGTATATAATGTAATGTTTACATTGTCACGGTTTCCGCCATTTTTCAACAATTTCTGTAGAACATGCGTAGCATATTCAAATGCCAAAGTTGTAGAGAACTTTCTCTATTAGAGTTGGGTTCTCCGGTGGCACAAAAGTTGTAAAGCAAAATCTAATTTACGGTTAGTTAAAAGCCATATATGCGATCATTTCAAGACCTTAATCTTTGTACTTGATTAAGCTGAATTACGGTAAATTGTAAATATATCGAAAACGTATCCATACAAAAATAAATTAACTCGATTTTCGGAATCAGCGAGCGATTCTACATACAAATTGGATAGTGGCGTCTGGAGAACAAAATTAGAATTAAAATTTGTGATACAGTGTTTTTTACAATAACAAATGATTTTTTAAAAGGCTTATATATAAAAAAAAGATGTGGAAAATTTAATTTTCTACAAAAGTATTTAACCGATTTTTTTTAACAAACTACAATCCAAGAAGGCCGAATGTTTCCATATAAAAATTAGGGGCAAGACTTTAGATCTATGGTCTACGTGTCAAATAAAAGTAAACTCCATCAAAAGTTCACTACTACAATTTTTTTTCTTCGTGCTAATTTGGTCAAGTTTTCTGGGCTAAAAATGAACTTGAATTGTAATTTTACGCGGGAAAAACCTCAATAACTTTAAAAGTTAGAGAGGTTTAAAAATATTGCAGCAATTTTTGATATCGGAGGATAAAACTACATCAAGTGCCACAAAAATATATTAAATTCCCTTTTTTATAGGCAATTTTGTCCACTATGTGAAAAATTCGATGAATTTGCTGAACTTTTAGCGTCTTTCCGTTATCCGATTTTTTTAATTTTTCCCAGGGCACGTTTTTATGACCAAATGAACCTTTCTGGGGTGTCTTACTTTGTAGGACAAAGTTTCAAAGGAAGGCGCAGCAGTCTAATGTATACATACATATACACTTGGGATCAGCTGATTAAGTTAAGTGACATTTTGACTAGTTTTGGTTAATTATAAAAATTAAACAAACCTTAACAATTACACCAAAAACTTTAAACTTTTTATTAAAATTTGTTATACAAATTTTAGATTTGCAGTTTTGTAGCCCATTAAATTTTAGTAAGTTAAAGTGCAAATTTTAAAACACTAGAAAATCGCGTTGATTTTTACATAATAATTTTTTTGCTGACGGTGCACAGTGTTTCGACTATATGGAGGCAAGTAGAAAAGTCATGGTGACAGTTGATAAACAAAAAAAAACGGTTGGGCTTAGAGAGGGAAAAGTAAAAGTCATAAATACCAAATTTTACATTATTTACTCACCTCCCTTCTTCACTAACGATACATTTCCAAAAATAAATACGGGAATGGGCGCGATACCGACTAATCAGTTTGCCTTTGGCGATTAACCCATTAAAGAAAGTGTTTTTTTTTCAACTGTAATCAATTATTTAAATGTCGTGTAATATTCAGGTGAAGGTACCTATCATTTATTTGGTACTTTCCTATTTTCTTACCAAAAAAATTACTTTGAAATGTAGATGCTAAAGATTATTAGTAAACAAGTAAGAAAGTCTTAGTTCAGGCGGAGCCGAACATTAAATACCCGGCGCAAGTGTTAAATATATGTTTTTCACCTTTAAGTTAGCGTCCTTAAATTTCGAAATATTGAAATTTCAAACATTTCTGAAATTTATTGTTATATAAAAAGCGGCCGTAATTTTAGGCCGCTTTCAATAATTTTCAACGCTTTGCTTTTATGTTGCAAGCACAATAATCATACCGAGTTTGGTACAAATTGGTAGAACGGTTACCGAGATACATATATGTGATCATAAGTGGGCGGTGCCACGCCCATTTTGCAAAATTTTATCATAAACGTATTTCTTGGTAAAGAATTGTTGCAAGCGTCAATTTTGAATAAATTAGCTTTAATATTTACTGATTTATCGGAGATTTCGTATTTCTCTAAATTACCCTTATATTACCATTATATGTGGGTGTGGTTATTGTCCAATTTTAAAAATTTTCGGCCATTTGGTATGCTGTGCCAAGACCAACAATTGTGCCAAGTTTGGAAGAAATCGGTGCAGCGGTTGCCAAGATATACACATGTAACCATAAGTGGGCGTGGCTACGCCCATTTTCCAAAAATTTATAATATTCTTATTTTTCGTCTAAAAATCATTGTAAATATCAATTTTGAGTGAATTATATTCAGTATTTACTAAAATATTGCAGTTTTCGTATATCTGAAAATTACCGTTATATGGGAGGTAGGCGTGGTTATCGTCCGATTTTGCCCATTTTCAATACCATCCGTCCTACGCCCGAAAGAAGTACACGTACCAGGTTTTGTTAAGATATCTTAATTTTTACTCGAGTTATCGTGTGCACAGACGGACGGACAGACGGACGGACGGACGGACAGACAGTCACCGCTTAATCGATTTCTCTTTTCATCCTGATCATTTATGTATACATTTGTCTATATCTATCTCGATTCGTTTTGCCTGTTACAAACAACCGTTATGTGAACAAAGTTATAATACCCTTGTGCACAAGTGCGCTCGGGTATAAAAATAGCTCAGATCACTTTCTTTTTTAAACACCTACGATATCACTGACAAATTTAAAGCACCCTGGATGACGGTAAAGCTCAAAACTTTACAAATTTTTGTATGGGATTTTTGAAATGAACGGTCCAAATTAGCCGGTATACATACTTATGTATTTTAATATTTTTATAATCTGTGGTTGAATTTTTGTACTGAATGGGTTAAGAAAGCTTTAGTTTAAAAGGGTGATACTAAATGCCTTTCACCATGAAACGACTCCAATTTTAAGTGATTATTGCTTTTCAGACTACGAGTAATAAAGCCTTTGGACGGATATTGTGAAAGGTTGGACTATATCTACCTTAAAAGTTACTGTTTTCTCACGGCCCACAGTACAATGTTATGAGTGGAGTAAGGCCCTTAAATAACTTAAAATTATCAGGTCTCTAGCAATACAAGATTAATTGTTGTCTCTATCGAAGCTCTTTAAATAAATCTTGCGCTAAATATTGAAGTAGGTTCATGAATGTCACGTCTTGTTTTTACTTAAGTTTAAATACTTAATATCTGCAAGTATTTCTTTAATGCATTCACCCGAACTTCGGAAGGTTATTACTATTTAGTAAAAGTAATTACCGAGCCTACTTTATAAGGGAGAAGATGCTCAACACCGCCAACCAAAAAAAAAATTATAAAAAATCAACGGATTTTCTAGCGTCTTTGAAATTTAAAAAATTATAAACAGTAAATAAACAAAAGAAAAATAACCAAAACTAGTTAAAATGTCACTTAACTTAGTCAGCTGATCACAAGACTGCGCCTTTTTTTGCAACTTTGTCCTACAAAGCAAGCGATCTATCGGCGAAAATTTGTTGAATTTTTCCAAGTTCTGTATGAAGTTTGAAAGTTTGGCTTATGTGGTTTTGATTAAAGCATGAAACATATTTTTACAAAAAATAACAAAAAAATTTTAACTTGAAAAAACGTTGCAAATATTTAAGAAAAAATGCCTTAGAAGCCATTGCTCTAAAATTTGTAAATTTATGATTTTAATCATAAATTTGATATTATATGTACAAGTAAAGAAATACGTATCGAGGACCTTTTGCAATAACGACACACATGAAAACTAAAAAAAAACCCTTCCTACTGTCAAGTGGATCCTGTATTTAACCCTTACTACTTACTTCAGTAACCATTACTTTTTAGTAAGGATTAGACAAGAACCAGAGACATGAGTCACTTAACAGTTGGAAGGGGTTTTTCGGCATGGATTAGACAAGGATTAGAGACATGAGGCCCTTAAGAGCATGGGATTTTTTTTTAGTTGTGCCGTTATTGCGGAGGATAATCGATAAGTACACATATTAATGTATTTTAAAACTTACTTAAAGCATCCTCCGGATTTGTGGCCTCGTCCAACATTAGCAAATGTGTGAACTGATCATCTTCCTCCACCAATTCTAATGATTCAATCACAGACTGGTGATCCTTGAAACCATCCTTTCGCACTTGAAATACTACTTCAATCATATATTGAACGCGCTTATCTAATTTACCCTCGTGTAATATATTTTTTAGCATTTCAAAAATTGCACCTATGCCTTTAGAAGACACCTCGGTCAATTTCATGCCACATTCTTTTAGAAAAGCTATAGCTACCTCCACAGAGTCGTCTGTTGGTGTCTCTACCAATAGCGTTAGGATCTCCAATGCAAGTATCTCATGTGCTACACGCTGATTAACTAAATGCGCTATAAAGCGGGATGACGACAAACATACCGCCTTATCGTTTCTTCGGAAAGCTCGTTTAAATTGAATTACCAGACGTTTAAGTAGTATCTCGCCTATATTAGGAAATTTAGAATTTATTATAGACACCAAGGCAGCATAGACATGCGTGAAAGTGGGCGATGCCGCTTGGGCTTGTATAATAGAACGACAAAGTAAGCCGCGGCCACGAACAATATTTTCTTTAAGTAGTTCACGAGTAATAATGGCAATGTTATCTACGTTTACTTTGTTAATATAGCCATGTATGGACTTTTTTAGTGCTTCCCATGCGATACGCTGGTATGCGGCAGAGGACTTGTCAGTAATTTTGGCTTGCATCATACGTAATTTGGCCGGTGGTATGTAAGCACCACCGGTACGGGATGTTAATAAGTCAACGGTTCGACGCTGCCGCTCAGTAATATTTCCTTCGGCATCGCTTACGGTGGCATTGTTATTTTCTGCAACTTTGCTATCCACACTGCTGAAACCTTTACTAGTAGAAAACCATGTATTCCGTTTTGGGGAATTTTCAGAACTATGCGAATTTTCTTTTTCACATCTCCTCTTTTCACGCTTTTCGTCATCTCGTCGTTGTAGCTTGGCATGGCGTCGCTTTCGTTCAACCTGCCGCCTCGCTATTGATGAAGAGCGTCGAGAACGTTGATATGAAGGTGATTGAGAACGTAAACCTTCTCTTGGATTCTGAGAATGGCGATGCCGTCGCATCTTTTTTCCATCACGAGAACATGAACGTTGTCGAACACTGCTTCTACAGGGTATCATTTTCTGATTATTCGTTTCTTCTTCCTCGGTTAAGCAAACATCATTTTTTTCATTCTGGAATTACATCAAAAAGTTATATTAGAAGCTTGATTTATAGTCCGGGAGGCCAGCGACAAGGAAATGCAAGCATTTTATAAAAGCTGAATTTTTGATATTATGTCACATTTGTGGAGAAATTGCCTGCCGTCAGTCAGTCTGATTCGTTAGCGTTTGGCGTGGGGCGGCTTTAATTTTGTATAGAAACTCTTAATCTTGCAACTACGTTATAAAATCTGAAAAATTAATTGCGAGTATATTGACTGAAAAGTAGTATGACATTAGTCAGTCACTAGAATCCTGCACCCGAGCGCGTCAGTCACACATTGAAGTTGTACAAAATCTTTGCATCTTGAAAGCATTTTATAAAATCTGAAATTCGGCTAACAGGTGCAGAATATTATTGCAATTACAAAAATAATAGCCAGTCAGAATTTCCCCTGTAACAGATGGTCACCGATAAAAAGTAATGCCTTGCACTTATAAATATAAGAATACGTGTATTTGCGTATTCTTCCAGCAGAAAACTCTCAGCAGCAAAATTCTAATGAATTTTTATCTGTTCTCTCTCAAAGAGAGAAATGTTAGCAAAAGTACGCGAACACAAAACTAGCAAAAACATACAAAAGCATAAAACAGAAAAGATGAAATGAATATAAATTAAAAGTTTTCCTAAAGAAATTTGCTAAACAAACATGAGTAAATGAGTATTTGCTTTGTTCCGATACATTTGCAGTTCCAAAAAGTTATTTCAAACTTAAATTCATAATAATAAATCTAAACCTAAATCTAAAATAAATTTCCATATTTTCATAAATTTGAAAACAGATGACTTTGATCAGCTGTTTTTCTTGCTGGCAAATGGCTGCTGCCAAAAAATTTTCCATCAGAAACTAGCAGCTTTTCCTCAGAATGAAATGCTCTCAATTTCCCTTACTTTGCTGGATTTTTGTGTACGCGAACAGACCTAATATTAAAAAAAAATTGTTTTTCAGTATATAAAAATAAAACTATTCGTACAGTTTTTTCTTTTGCTTCCGTAGATGTACATACTGTACTGTACTGATTTTTATGTATATATATCACCAGTTTTTTTTTTACAAGTATGTACATAATTGGAAATTTCGTCGTTCGAAATCATATAAATGTTCTCAACTATTAATGGACTAGGAAAAGTGATGAAAACCCGTTATGGAATAGCTCTTGTCTACTTTTGAGCTTGTCATTAAAGATGGAAACAAATGCAACAAAAACCGATCACTCAATTACCGTAGTTGCGCCCGTGAAATGTTTTTTGAATTTTTACTTAAAAATACGATTCGTAGAATATCGACATCCGGTACTACATATTTGTGCCATAGTTCTTGGAACTCTTAAATCGTGTTAAAAGACATATATAGAATTTACTCAACCACCTAGTTGGCTATTTCGAGACACTTCGAAACTTGCACTTTCTGCCACCCTTAGACCAGGTGCCACGTAGCAAATATTATCACCATTTTCACGTAAAACGGCCTCAAGCTCAATAAAATTATTGAATATCTCCAACTTACGCGAAAATTGTGTGCTATGTATGTACATTGCAAATAATAAAATTTTTACTTGTACATAATTAAATAAATACGTATAAAGGATGTCTTAGACCACCCGTCCACCCCTTCACCCGACATTTTTAAATCCGCCCGTAGTGAATACACGGAAGCGAAGAGTTATTCGATTTCGAACGAAAATGGAACTTATGATAAGGCTGGTTGTCATTGAGGAAAATTATGATGCAGGTAATGGACGTAATGAGCACATTTATTATGGTTATTTATGTAATCATTTTGAAATTAAATATTTTGCTCTTTTTAATTTTCAGATGCTGGATCATCATAAAGTTATACAGAAGAGGATGACGATGCGCCTGACGAAATTGATAATTACAATAGCGATTCAGAATGAATTAATTATGTAAATGTTTTTTCAAAAGTAAAAAAAAATAAATTTTTTATTATTTATTGAGTGGACCGCATTACAGAAGCGCATCCTTATATAGGTGACTGACGGCATCTGTTACAGAAAAATTCTGACTAATTTTGTAATTGCAATAATATTCTGCACCTGTGAACTGGATTTCAGATTTTATAAAATGCTTACACGGTGCAGAACAACTTCAACGCGTGACTGACGCGGTCGGTTGCAGGATTTCAGTGACTGACTAATGTCATACTAATATTTAGACCATATACTACTCGCAATTAATTCTTCAGATTTTATATAGTTGCAAGATTAATGCAATTCCTTGTATACAACTTCAACGCGTGACTGACGCGGTCGGTTGCAGGATTTCAGTGACTGACTAATGTCATACTAGTATTTAGTCCATATACTACTCGCAATTAATTTTTCAGATTTTATAAAGTAGTTGCAAGATTAATGCAATTCCTTGTCGCTCGCCTCTCGGACTATTACATTTTGGTAATTTGTTAAAAATTATCGGCATTTTCTTCGCAGCACCTGAGAGGCCGTACTTGAAAATTATCTTCCAGAAGCACTGGAACCAATATTATCAGACCTCTTCAAATAATTACAAAAATTAATTCTTTTTCAAATTTTAATACATTTACCGGGTACGGTTCGGTTATTTGTACAATGATTTTTGGCTATTGTGTCTAAACGCTTGACCCGAATCAAAAAATTCGGCTTCAAATATGCCCTTTTTTGGAAATTTCGAGGTGGGTTCTGCGCAGAAATACTGTGGTCAGCGTAGCCGCGGTGGACTTATGAGGGTTAATATTTCTAAGCGCAGCCGAAGGCCGCCAACGCGGAAAGGTGTTCTGCCGAAAAATAATGTGGTCAGCGTAGCCGAAGTTGAGCTGAGGACAATTATTTTTTCTGGGCGCGGCCGAAGGTGCAGTGGCTTTATTTCCATGGGGAAAGTGAAATAAAGCCATAAGCAAAAATTTAACATAAGAAATAAAGCCATACGATCTTATTTCAATACAAAAAGTAAATGTTGTCTCTTTAATTGTTGCTTTGTTCATTCCTCTTTTTTTTGATGATATACATATGTACATATATGAGTTTTTCTTTTAAATCACTGAGATATATTTATATATCTATATATCGTCGTTTTAAGTACAAAACCGCGTATCAACATAATTCAAAACCGCGTATCAAGATAACGCATAACCGCGTATGTAGGGTTACATAAATTATTTTGTAGAGAGTAAAAACACTCATATTTCAAAATTGTTCTCTTTTTAATAAAGCAATTGCATTTCTAGCTAGTATATTTCAGTACGAATGGATAAGGCTTGAGCCAAAAGCTTCGGTGAACAAATCCAATTTTTGGCAAAACATGTCAGTTACGCGCTTTTGCAGAACGACGATACGCGGTTTTGTACTTTAAACGACGTTATGTGTATATGAGGTTGAGTACTTTTCGTTTTTCTCATTAACAATTTTATACATACATCATGTTAATATGCATCTACCGATTTAAAAGAACATTTCATATACATACGTACATACGTATATCTATACAAATTAATATATATAAATACATATGTATATATCGATGAGATTTTCATTTAAATCTGTAAGATATACTTATATAAAATTAAAGTGTAAATAAAATTGCTAATGATAAAACCGATAACTACTCAACATTGCAGACGCCATATAAGGAAAACTGAATTATTACGAAAGGTAAATAAAGTGGCAGCACTTTTTTTCAGTTTCTCGTTTTAGTTCGGAACATTGCTTACTTGTTTTTTAATAACAAAATAAACAATCTTTTGTTGTAAACTTTATGTACTTTTTGAAAATGTTGTTCAAATAATATATTTTACTAGTGTTTCAAAAGAGAATATTGGTGATTAAGTGCATTTTTGAGCGTGCAATTACTCATAAAAAAGAGCAACATTTCAAAAAACTGTTTTTTTTTAATAACCTTTACAGGGATAAAAATGCGCCGAGGGTATCCCTGCTGACAGTTTTGGACGTTTTTTTTGTTTTCTTAGTTGTAACTTCAACTAGAGAATTAGCTAGTTACTTTATGTTTATATGCACACCAGCTGTGCACTAGGTAAACATTACACAAACAATTATCAAAGGTGCAATAATGGTTTATTTCACTTTCACAGTGAGAAATAAGACCATACGCAAATATATGGCTTTATTTCTCAATGTAAAGTGAAATGAAGCCATATAGCGTTATTTCCTATGGATTTATTGCACGACATCGCGGCCGAAGGCCTCCAACGCGGTGGTGTTCTGAGCAAAAATAGGCTACAGTGGTGCACTTTAGAAGAACCTGCCCAAAACTCATCCAACAAAGTCAGGGGTATCAATCGAAGCGTTTTAACGCCAGTAATAACACTGTACGGCAAAATCAACTTTTTTCCGGGTATTGGACCAAACCATTTTTTTTTTTTTAAGAGCTTGAGTCATAGGTAAAACAGTGATTTCTCCTTTTTCCGAAGTTGGCCTCCGAAATCGAGATATGGGACTTCGAAGTTCAAAATAGGACCTTTGGTAAAAAATTATTTTTAATTACTGAATGTAAATAACTAAAAACCTAAAAATATAAACATAGTCCTCCTTTTGCTCTTATTTAAATGGTATATAACTTTTTTTGTGCAAACTTATATTACAGGGTCAAAATTCAGGTCTTCGAAAAATTAAATTTCTTATATTGCAAACAATTTTGAACTGATTTAAAAAAAATATATATCGTAGTAAAGGTGATTAAACCCCCTTTCTCCCGATATGCATATTTGTATACTTCGTATATACAAATTTTAGAAAACACACATTTAAATGAAAAAATACTTTGTTTTGAAAAAATTGGTATCGTTGTAAAGACGATTAAACCCCCTATCTTCTGATATGCATATTTGTATACTTCGTATATAAAAATTTGAGAAAAAAACACATTCAAAGGAAAAAATACCTTTTTAAAAAAAAAATTAAACAAAAAAATTACTAACCGATTTTTAAGAAGTTGGCATCGTTGTAAAGGCGATTAAACC